AAAAAAAAAAAAAAAAAAAAAAAAAAAAGGTGACTCACGAAGAGGCAGAAGATTCTACAAGAAGCAGGGAGGAGGGTCCACAGAAGGGTAGCTAATTTCACGTCACACATATGTAAGGTAGGTATAACGAAAGCAAAACACTCTCTGGGTAGCCAAACAGCTGCCACACAAAGTTCTGTACACTCTCACTTATGGGAGTGCCCAAGTCCTCTCTCACACTGCATACCTTTATTTTACACACAGCTCTTAGAAGCCTGGCGTGGAGTCAAAAGGCAATCAAGGCTCTCCCAGGGCTTGGAGAAAACTGTCATCCATACCGCTGATAGGTGACTGAGAAGGACTGAAAGGCTTTAGAAATCAGACTACAGAACCCCACAAAGAAGAGCATACTGGGGCCATTTAATGTAGGAACAAACATCCCCACACTACATGTAGCCAGCATGTAACTGTGTTCCTGTAGTGCCTCTAAGCCATCAACAAAGAGCTATAATTATATTCAGGGCACATTGCCTAGAAGATAAGAAAATGCATAATACAGTTTAGAATGGGTCTTGAAAGTGATAGCTTTTTTTTTTTTTTTATGTAGGTGAAAGGGCATGTTTAAGTTCTCTGGAAAGTTCAGTTGTAGGGTCCATTCAATTTTTTTCTTTTTTTTTTTTGGCGGTACGCAGGCCTCTCACTGTTGTGGCCTCTCCTGTTGCGGAGCACAGGCTCTGGACTCACAGGCTCAGCGGCCATGGCTCACGGGCCCAGCCGCTCCGTGGCATGTGGGATCTTCCCGGACCGGGGCACAAACCCATGTCCCCTGCATCAGCAGGCAGACTCTCAACCACTGTGCCACTAGGGAAACCCCATTTCTTTTTTTTTTTTAACCTAGCCTCCTTGATCATTAGCTGAAATCACCTGGGTCATTTATTGGTTCCCTTTTTTTTTTTGGCCTCACAGCACTGGTTGTGGGATCTTAGTTCCCCGACCAGGGATCGAACCCCTCAGCAGTGGGAGCGTACAGTCCTAATCACTGGACTGCCAGGAAATTCCCCCCATTCATTTCATGTAAGGTTCTCTGTAATATGTCTTGGGCTTCCTCATGCTCCCTATCAGGCAGAGTCCCCGCCCCCTCCCGCCGTGCTTCGTGGCCCCTACCTCCCATCCACACCCCCACACAAACACCCAAACCCCCTTCTGTTTGTGGTGCAGGAGGAAGAGGGCGGGCGTGATGGCACAGCAATACCTGAATCTGGAAGGTCAGGATCTGGTTCCATATCGGGCTCTCGGTTTGCATCCGCACGTGTGTCTTGAGCTGGGAACATCCCAAAGCAGTGTCAGTGCCAGCCTGTCCCCTCCTCCCTCCACTGGCCTCACCTCCCAGCCCTTCTGGTCCAGCCCACAGGTGAACCTGTCTGCAGCACAGGGCTGGTCATGGGAATCCCTGGTCCAAAGACACTTTGACAACTTCTCATCCGCTACAGCTCTGGTCCTTTGAGTAGCTACCTAGATCCAGACTCCTTCATATTTTCCCTTAAATCAGCTTTCAATTAACTTTTAAATAGATACAGGGTTACTAACTTTATTACATCAGTGCAAACACGTAGATTTTGTTAGATAAACTCTAAGATCCCAATAAAAAGTCAGCAATAACAATGCTCATGGTATCCCCCTTTCCAAAACACCACTTGACTTCATTTTTTCTTTTTTTTTTTTTTTCTTGCGGTACGCGGGCCTCTCACTGTCATGGCCTCTCCCGTTGCGAAGCACAGGCTCCGGACGCGCAGGCTCAGCGGCCACGGCTCACGGGCCCAGCCGCTCCGTGGCATGTGGGATCTTCCTGGAGTGGGGCACGAACCCACGTCCCCTGCATCGGCAGGCGGACTCTTAACCACTGCGCCACCAGGGAAGTCCACTTGACTTCATTTTTAAACCTAGCCTTATTCTAAGCAATCATGTCAGTGAAACCAAGGGTTAGTTGAACTGCTTAAACCTTTTGATACACTCTAAGAAAAACACAGAAATATTAAAATTTTTGAAAAAATGTATGCCTCTGCCACCCAACAGTATCTCACCTACTTCCAGGGTTCCTAAACCACTCATTGGGAAATAAATACTCAGTGTGGTGGCTTCAAAATATGTCCACACCTCCCTTTGGTACTCTCCCCTTCAAAAGGCGGACACTAACCTCCCTCCCCTCATGTATGGGCTGGATTTAATGACTTCTTCTAATAGGTAGAATATGGTGGAAATGATGGTTGATGAATTCTGAAACAAATCTAACAAATCCCCAAATTTGAACATGTGATCTTGTTTCTGCACATAACATCCATCAACACCCTTTGGAAAATGCTACCATATGTTCATAGAGGTTCATGGAATGTCAGCAACTCTCTTGCCCAAAACCTTCAACTTCTAGATGAAGAAACTGAGGTCCAAAGCGGACGGTGACAGTTTCAATGTTGTGCATTTGCGGGCATGTTGTTTCATCCACTTGTCCACTCATTCGTGCATTTGGATGTTTGGTTTTCGGTGGGCATATTCTCTATGCAGGGCACTGGGCACAGCTCTGGGATACAGGCTGACTAAGCCATGGCCTCCACCTTCACAGAGGCCCGGGTCCAGTGGGATCATATCACCCATAAATGGAAGAACTGGGATACAACACCTGGGGTCCTGGCCACTTTTCCTCCACACCATTTTTTTTTAGGTGCCAATTTCTCTAAGTCTCAGACCATTTTTACGCTTACCTTTTCCCCAATTAGTTCCACCTCCAACATAGGACTCACTGAGTGGTGTTTCTCTAAGAGCAAAGAAGTTAAAAGATTTCTGAGATAGCAGCATTTTTTTTTTTTTTTTTTTTCAGGAGAAGGAAATGGAGAAGTGACAGAACAACTTAAAACCCTCCCCCATAATTTGGTTTGGTGCCGCCTGGGCAGACACCTCCCATTTCCACTCTGTCTCCATGTGCTGTTGTGTGTCCTGGCACACAACAGCAGTGGGGGTGGGGCCTGGCATAGGGAACCTTGAGTCTGCATCTGGGCATCAAAGACAGGGCAGGGGCACATGGCCCATTTTAAAGGGACCTTCATAAAACCATTCTTGGCAGATTTCAGTCTCCCTCTCTCCCCCACCCCAAATCGTAGTGTCAAGACGGAACTGGGGAGCCCCAGGAGAAACCAGAGTGCCACCAGGTAGGGAACCTCAGGGTCACCCCCTCCCCCGCCCTGACTGACTGAGGTGGAGATCCTCGGCGCAGTAGATGAAGAACTGTAAGTAGGCCATATTGATGGGCACCACCGATGACTTGAAGATCTGAATGTCAGTGTCATCAGCCCTATAGGTCAGCTTTTGATCTACCTGGAGAGACCAGAGAGCTAATAGGGTCAGAGTCTTAGGGAGGTCATGGCCACCAGACTTGGCTTCCCCAACTTTCCGCTTGGTTGGGGTGGGGATGGACAACCCTGAAGGGAGACAGTGGACAAATGAAAGCATGTGAAGAGCAATGGCCTCTTGGGGGGCCCATGGGGGGCCCCACAGAGGCAGCCAGGGTAGGAAATGTTCCTGGGGTGTTGGGGGGACAGCCTCACCGGTGCCTGGTCTCCCACACCGAGGGCAGAGATGGTGACTTTCAGGTAGCCTCTCACACCACTGCTGGGTTCATTTGGCTGGCAGAGGCCAAGCCATTTCCTCAGGAGTGTGTGACCTGGAGAGGCAGAGGGCCCATGGGACACCAGCCTCCAGTCTCTATTCATCTTCCCTGAAACCAGCCTTTGCTTCTGTAGGAGACGGGTGTGGAAACATGTCTCATACATTCTGGTTCCCAGCCAGGGGCAGGGGGAAATGGGAGTCACTCCTACCTTTAAGTAAAAGCTGCCAGCTATTGCCATTAGGAAATAGGGCCCCCCCCCCCCCCACCCCGCCCCGCTTTCCCATCCAGGGAACTTATAGTTGTTACTGTCCTGGTCTGAGAGAGGCAAATCTCTTCCCCAACCCTAAGTCCCAACCTCAACCTGGTATGTATGTTATGGTCAGGTCTACTCAAAATTCAAACACTGGCATAGAGAGATAGAAATTCAAGCCAAGGCTGCAATTAAAAAATTAGCATTTGACCCAAAGAGATGCTTTGATTTTTGTAGCGAAAGATGTTATTATAAAACAAGATAAAATACCATGAAATAGAGTAAAATGTTAACTACAGAAAATAATTCACATCTTCTAACACTCTCCCCCCATGTGTTGCACATACAGGGATTTTGAGATGATTTCAACACCTGACCTGGTTTTTCTCAGAAGACACACGTATTTCCAACAACTGCTACCTACCTGGAGAGCTGTAGATGAACCCAATATCAGTCTGAAAAGACAAGAATAGAGTAAGGATTAGTTAGGGCCTCCAGCCAACCAACTTGATGACAGTAGGGGTACTTTTTCCACCCTAATTCCTTTAATCTTTACAACGACCTGGAAGTTGGGCCATTATCATAGTGGAGGCCATTATCACCTCCACTCTACAGAGGAGGATACTGAGTTTGAGAGAAGAGCCCAAAGTTTTACAACTAGTAAGTGAGGTGGCCTGGATTGAAAGGATTCTTGACCACCACCAGCACTGCTGGCCTACACAGCGTTATTCTTCCCTACCCCTGGGGGGGTGGGGAAAGGTGTCTCCCGTCCTGGGGAAGAGGATGGTCAAGGGAGGATTTGGCAAAGAGAGGGTTCTCCCTTTCCCCTGGGAGACAGTTTTTGACTCCCTGAGGCCTGGGGGATGCAGTACAGGATTGAAGGTGGTGTGGGGCAAGGTACCGCAGAACATTCAGGCCACCCTTGGAAGGGTCCATAGAGCAAGCCCCAAGTTTTGCGTGTAGGCCTGCTTTAAAGCTCAGTCAGCCCCTTGGGTTAGGTAGGCAAAGATTTCTTAGATCCAACAACAAAAACACAATCCATAAAAGAAAATTTTGATAAATTGGACTTCATCGAAATGTAAAACTTCTGTTCTTTGAAAGACACTGTTAAGAAAATAGAAAGAGGGCTTCCCTGGTGGCGCAGTGGTTAAGAATCCGCCTGCCAATGCAGGGGACACAGGTTTGAGCCCTGGTCCGGGAAGATCCCACATGCCGTGGAGCAACTAAGCCTGTGCCCCACAACTACTGAGCCTGCACTCTAGAGCCCGTGAGCCACAATTACTGAGCCTGCATGCCACAACTACTGAAGGCCGTGCGCCTAGAGCCCATGCTCTGCAACAAGAGAAGCCACCACAATGAGAAGGCCGCACACCACGACGAAAAGTAGCCCCTGCTCGCCGCAAAGCCCGCGTGCAGCAACAAAGACGCAACACAGCCAAAAATAAATAAATAAATAATTTTTTTAAAAAAAAAGAACCCTTAAGAAAGAAAAGAAAATGAAAGGAGACATCATATACTGGGAGAACATATTTCCAAATCATTTATCTGATAAAGGACTTGTATCCAGAATATATAAGAAAATCTCAAAACTCCATAGTAAGAAAACAAACAACCCAATGAAAACAAGCAAAAGATTTGAACAGACACTTCATCAAAGAAGTTAGATAGCAAATACTTGAAAAGATGCTCAACATCATCAGGGAAGTGTAAATTATAATCACAACAAGATACCACCACACATACTTAGAAGAGCCAAAATTTTAAAGATGGACAGTATCAAGTTTGCATAAGAATGTGGAGCAACTGGAACTCTAATATATACTGCTGGTGGGAATATAAAATGGTAGAACCTATCTGGAATTTTTGGGAAAAAACTGCTAGGAATTTTCTTTAAAAGTTAAACACACACCTACCATATGAGGTAGTCATTTCACTTCTACATATTTACTCAAGAGACATCAGAGCATAGGTCCATACTAAGACTTATACATCAGTGTTACAGCAGCTTTGTTTTAATAGCGCCAAGCTGGAAACAATCTAAACGTCCACCAGCAGACGAATGGATCAACAACCTGTGGTATATCCATAAATGGAATACTATTCAGCAATAAGAAGGAATGAACTATTGATCCATGCAACAACATGGATGAATCTCAAAATAATTATGCTGATTGAAAGAAGCCAAAAACAATAAAGTACATGCTGTATGATTCCATTTATATACAATTCTAGAAAAATACAAAGCAGTGTTACAGAAAGCAGACCAGTGGTTGTCTGGGGATGGGAGCAGGAAGGATTGGGGGAAGAGGGAAGAATTACAAAGAGGCACAAGGAAATTTTGGAGGGTGATAGATATGTTCATTATCTTGATTGTGATCATGACTTCATGGTTGTGTACATATTTTAAAACATGAAATTATACATTTAAAATAGGTATAGGGAATTCCCGGGCAGTCCAGTGGCTAGGACTCAACATTTTCACCGCCTTGGCCCGGGTTCAATCCCTGGTCGGGAGACTAAGATCCTGATGAAATAAAATAGTATAATTCATTGTATGTCAATTGTACCTCAATAAAGCTAGAAGAAAACAAAGCAAAATGAAACTCAGTCACCTCTAACGAGGCCATAGATCTAGGCAGTGATCATCAATAGCTGTTAACAACATAAAAAGACACCAACAGCCGTTCTGTGTCTCCTGGTGACATCATCTTGCCAAATAATTGACCCAAGTCTGATCTAGCCTCTAGATAGGAAATACCTGGGCAGAGAGACGTGAGAACTGATCCCCTGGAGGTACAACCAGCAAAATCCAGACTGAGGGAAAACTGCAGGACAAACTACCCAGGGGCTTCAACAAATAAATGGCAAAAAGGTAAACTGGGGGGCAGGACCAGATGAATAAAATACACCTAAAAACAACATTTTAACCAACTGCAATGTGTGCACCTGGTTTGGATCCTGATTTGAACAACCTGTAAATGGAATTCACAAGACAATTAGGGAAAGGTGAGCACTGACTAGATATTAGTGCTCTCCAGGAATTATAAAAAGGTGTTTAGATGTAGTCATTGTCTTCGGTTATGCTTAATAAAATCTGTATGTTTTAGAAATAGGTAATGAAATATTTAAAACTAAAATGATGTCTGAGATTTGATTCAAAATCTGTAGGGGGGAAAAAAAAAGAAAAAAAATCTGTAGGGGAGAGGGAGAGGGCCAGGTGTAGATAAAATATGATGACATGGTTGACAATGAATCGGTGAAGGTGAGTGATGGGGATGGGGGAATTCATGATACCATTCTCTCTACTTTTGTGTATGTTTGAAATTTTCCAAAAAAGGAATATATATATTTTTAAAAGCTCAGGTTTTCCCCTGACCTCTAAAACGTATTCAACAGTCGGTCATCGTCTGGAAGTCGCACAGTGGCCTTTGTCAAAATGAATGGATAAAGATGTGGCACATATATACAATGGAATATTACTCAGCCACAGAAAGAGACAAAATTGAGTTATTTGTAGTGAGGTAGATGGACCTAGAGTCTGTCATACAGAGTGAAGTAAGCCAGAAAGAGAAAGACAAATACCGTATGCTAACACATATATATGGAATATAAGAGAAAGAAAAATGTCATGAAGAACCTAGGGGTAAGACGGGAATAAAGACACAGACCTACTAGAGAATGGACTTGAGGATACGGAGAGGGGGAAGGGTAAACTGTGACAAAGTGAGAGAGTGTCCTGGACATATATACACTACCAAGCATAAGATAGATAGCTGGTGGGAAGCAGCCGCATAGCACAGGGAGATCAGCTCGGTGCTTTGTGACCACCTAGAGGGGTGGGATAGGGAGGGTGGGAGGGAGACGCAAGAGGGAAGAGATATGGGAACGTATGTATATGTGTAGCTGATTCACTTTGTTATAAAGCAGAAACTAACACACCATTGTAAAGCAATTGTACTCCAATCAAGATGTAAAAAAAAAAAAAAGCACATTTTGACCTCCTGCTACCTAGCCTCTCTAGAATCTCTTAATTTCTAAACCTGTGCTGCTTTCTTGAGGGTTAGGTTGGGGAGGGGCAGGTCATGACCCTTCGCGTGCTTATTACAAGATCTGTAGTGAGAAAGAAACCTTACTTTGATTTGCCCTAAATTTGTCTTTCCCAAGGGCTGGGCCCTTTTCCATGAGTTGCCAGATTTAGCAAATGAAAATGTGATGTGATGTGATGGCAGCTTAAATTAGAATTACAGATAAACAATGTGGTGCTCTAAGGACAATGGTGGTTCAAGGACAAAGGACGACCCTGCCTGAAAAAGTTTCAGCAGCACACCCCCCTTACTAGACTCTTAATCACCCTCCCTACCATGTTACCATGGTTACAAAATTCCTGAGCCCACCTGGGCGACGTCTGCCTGGGCAACAGGACCTGTCCCAAGTAAGGAAAGGCATCTGCCCTGTCCCACTCCCACCCTATAGAAGGAAGGTATATGTGCCTCGACCAATCGGTAAAGGAAAATTTCACCTCGGACCATTCCTTTGTTTTCTGGCTATAAAAACTGATCAATAGCCCACGTTTGGGCTCGACTCTCCCAGACTACTAGGAAGTTGGCCCTCTTTTCTGGCAGCGACCCTTCCCTCTAATAAATTCTATCTTCTTTACATTCTGCCTTATGTCTGGAAATTATTTTCCAACCCGCTTTCGGACAACGCCAACTTTTTTAGTATACGTAGGTCCCCAGCAATATTTCATGAGGAGCCATGAAATACTGGGGGTATACTTATATTTAAAAAGTACCTGTTGTTTAAGATTCAAAATTTCTGGGGCATCCTGTATTTAATCTGGCAACCCTAACTTTTCCTGATCTTCCTGGATTTGGAGAACCTTAGTTTAGCCCTTCATGACTGTGTGAACTTTCCTCACTTCTCAACCTGGGTCTTTCCCAAAGCAAATCTTTTTACTGTCTTCACAGGCAGCAATCTTTCTCTAGGTTTCTCCAGCAATTTGGTTGACCTTTTGAGTCCTCTGCTTCCACAGCGTTACAAGTGTGGGGGGATTCAACGTGGCACCCAGCGCTTTCATAAATGTTACATACTTTAATCCTCACAATGACCCTGTGGGTTGAGTATATTATTATCCCCATTTTACAGATGAGGAAGTAGAGGCTCCAAATAACTTGTCTAAATCACCCAGTTGGTAGATGGATCCAAATCTGGATCTTGTAGCATCAAAATCCTTTCCCCTAGACTTAGACATAGAGCCCAGGGTGGGTCACTGTAACGGTTTCACCAAACCGCGCCTCCTCCATCCAGTGCTCACTTGGAATCTCCCGATCTCTGCATTGAATCTCATCACTGAGGAATTCATCACCTGCAGGGGAGTTTCCAGAAAGATCTCAGTTATTCACAAGCCCAATTTCCCCCAGCCCCATGGGAGGAATCATAAGGGCACATCTGGATTCTCCAGGATTTACTCAATGCTTCCTAATGGCTGACAGTTCCATGTAGTTTTTCTCATTTAATTCGCAGAGGAGCCCTGTGAAGTTCATATATTGCAGCTCCATTTTACAGATGAGGAAATTGATCAGAGAGGACAATTCACTTGATCTCCACAAAGCAAATTGTTGCACTCAACTTTCTCCACTGCATGCTGTCCTGGCTATTTCTCAAGAACATGTAAACTCTTCAAGGGAGAAGCCTTGCTCTCCTTAGCCCTGTGCTGGGCACATAGGAAGCACTTGATAAATACATGCTCATCATTGTTACCAGGCTCCCTCTGATTGGAGAAAGGGATGTCCCATGTTGAGGGGACATTTGAGGGGTGGCATGAGAATCCTGGCACATGGGAAAGGGCTGCTTTGTTCACCTCGGAGCTGAGCTCAGGGCCTATCAGTTGGCCTTCCATAACATTTGTTGAATGAATGAATGAATGGGGTGTCTGGTTGCCGGGATAAAGAAGGTGGCATAGGTGCTGCCTTGGGGTCAGAAAGACCATCTGATGTGACTCTAGCTCTACAGGTAAGGATGTGGGGCTGACGCACTTTCCAGAATTGAGGTGGGAAAAGAAAGTGGACCCATCCTGTCCAGCTCCTCACCTGGATTAAGATGGTGTCGTCAAAGAATTTTGCAGGAACCTCATAAAAATTCTGAAAGAAGATCTGAAGCAGAGAGAGTCGGGGTGTGGTTAGGAGACATTCCTTCCACCACTTCCCCCAGGGACTCCGCAAGCCTGAAGCCTCAGACTAGCAGGTTTCTTCCCCGCTGTTTGCCCATTTCAATGGCTTTCAGCTCACTACCACCCGCACGCTCCTCCCACAGAAGCAGAGGCCTGCCAGGTCCTGGAGGGGTTTTCTATCCAGAAAAGGACGGGGTAAGGGATCCCTGGAGGACTTGTCAGAAGCAGCTCAAGGCACAGCTAACTGCCCTGGGATGGAGATTCAAGCCTCCGCTTCTTTCTAGATCGCCCTGGGAATTCCTTGGTGGTCCAGTGGTTAGGAGTCTGCGCTTTCACTGCCGAGGGCCTGGGTTCAATCCCTGGTCAGGGAACTAAGATCCCGCAGGCTGAGCAACGCGGCCCAAAAAAAAAAGATCGCCCTGTCTGTCCACTCCACCCCACTCCCTGCTGCAGCCGGAACCTCCTCCCCCAGATGCAGACCAGGCCCTGTCACTCTCCTGCTTGAATCCCTCCATGGCTCCCAAGTCCCATCCATGACGGGGCCCCAGGGCATTTTGAAGGCTCACCTCCGGCCACTCCCCTCCAACTACAGCCGTGTCTACAGTTCTGCCAACCAGCCCTGCTGCTTCTCCTTTCCAGGACTCTGAGAACTGTATTCCTTTTCCTGAATTATCTTTCCCCATCCTGCCTTTCCGGAGTCCTCTCCAACCCCTGCTCCACCGTGCTTTTATCTTTTCTTTGGTGGTCTAGTCATCAATTAATTCGGCGCATGTTCATGGAGTTCCTACTGTGTCAGACACGATGCTATGAGGTGGGGCTTCTGCAGTGGCCAGGGCTACAGAGGGCCTGCATTTTGCGGCTGCAATCCCTGGGCACCGCAGTCTTGCCCCATTGTCATCCTTTATGTGTTCACATGTGCGGGAGGCCCCGCACAGACCACTGGCTCCACCCATGCAGGGCTCGGAATTACTCGTTCTCTATTCCCTGTGCCAAGCCCAGTGTTTGGCCCTCCATGCCCAGTAAGAGTTTGTGGAACAAACAAGTGAAAGCACCCGTGTCAGGGAGCAAGCTTGCTGGCTGCCGGCAGGAAATGCCCAGCCCTTGGCTGGCCCTCCTGGCCCGAGTGCCCCCATTCGGCTCTGAAGGGCATGTGCTGCCCACCTCATTGAAGAAAGGGTTATTTCCCATCTTGATCCGCGTGTGGTGCTGGTAGCCTCCGATGACCACCTTCACCACCGGCTTGATGTCGTTGCCCATGAGCTGCCGGGCTTCAAACACCTTCACTCGGACCTGCAGAGGAGCAAACAGGGGAACTCGACGTTGGGCTCCCCTTCCGCAGTGGGGGCTCTTCTCTAGAAGAACAATATGTTCTGATAAGAAACATCTACTGCGGATAGAAAGCGACCCCATGGGCCCTGGGAAGGCCATGTTTCCTTCTCTTTCCTTTTCTGGGAACTGTCACCTCCACTTTGCCCTTTTCATCTTGGGTGTTTCTTGAGTGGTAGGGACTTGTTACAGAATAAAGTCTAACATTTCTCACTTTGCTGTCTTTTTATGTTTGTCTGCGATCTTTTTAGGGAATCGAACATTTTAAAGTTCTATGCAGTTGAATCTATGATCTGTGATTTGATCTCTGATTTGTGATTTCTTCTTTTGCTGCTTTTATATACTCTCCTGAGACTCAGTAAAGGCACGATGAAGTCTGAGCCTAGAATTAGAAGGTGGGAGGGAGAAGAGCCCGTAAGATCCAGGCTGGCTAAGGCCTCAGGGGAAGGAACTGGAGACGGCGGCGGCTGGCAGGGCACAGTCGTGGGAGCCTGTCGTGACTAGAGGTAGTAACAGCACGCAGCTCTCCCAGCCCAGCCAGTGGATCCGGCCATTCTCCATGAGGCCTCCTGTGTCTCCATCAAGTCCAGGGGCCCTTCAAGGATTAATACACAAGCAGCTACCTGACCATCAGAGACAAGAGTGGTCAAACCAGGCAAGCAGCCCTCATGTCAGAACTTTGCCCTACGCACTAGTACATAGGAAGGGTAGTGATTTGGGCACGCTGACCTTCTATCCTGTGGCCAGCTAGCTTTGTGAAGAGAGACAGGGCCAATGGGGAGAGGGAATGTTCTCCGAAGGAGGCGACAGCACGTGCAAAGGCCTGGCGGCTGGGGAGAAAGTCTTGAGAGTGGGGACTGTAAGTTGTGCAGGATGTTACAGCAGGGTGGGGCGGGGCAGGGACAGGGGACAGATAACCCAGGCCAGGCTTGGGTTATCAAGGGCCTGGGAAGCCATCGTAAGGAGTTTGGGTTATGTCCTGAAAACATTGGGAGTCCTCATTTTTAAGAACATTTTTAGGCACACGCATGGCATCATAAGAAGGACTTTATTTATTTATTTTTGGCTGCGTCATGTGGCATGCGGGATCTTAATTCACCTACCAGGGGTCGAATCCATGCCCCCTGCTTCGGGAACGTGGAGTCTTAACCACTGGACTGCCAGGGAAGTCCCAAGAATGACATCTTGGAAAGACCACTTGGACTGAAAAATGGACAGGAGAGACCTGGGGGCTGGGAGTTTGGGAGGAGCCTATTCAAGGTGGTCCAGAGAAGGGATGCTGTTGTCTGGGACCAGGGGATGGAAGAGGCAATGGAGCAATGGGTGTGGTCAGGTGATATGAAGAGCTAGGACTTGGCCACTGACTGGATGCGGGGCGGGGGGTGGGGGGAGGAGGGGCAGCCAAGGATGACTCCCAGTCTCCTGAGCACGTGGCTGGCTGGGGAGCAGCTCCAACCATGGCAGAAATGTTAGATTACAGGCTAGAGATCAGAAGTAAGTTGGTAAGCCATGGTATGGGGGTTCCAGAATCCCTGGAGCTTCCTAGGGATCCCCTCGAACTCTCCTCAGCCTCTGCTGTGCAGCTCATTTCTCCTTGCCCAAGGCTAGCCTTGTATTGCCACCTCCTGAAGGGCAGGGTCCAGGCCTCAGCCCTGCCTCCCCAGCATGGCCAGGGCCTGGTGTGCACTGCCCACAGTGCTTCCTGTCGTCTCACTGGAACTGGCTCCAGCCTCAGCCACCCACAGAAGTTTCCCAGAATGGCCCCTGGAGGAGCAGAGGCTGTGGTGAAGATCTGAGGACCTGGAAACCAATCTGAAGCCCTGACCTTCCTCCATGACCGTGTGGAGAGGCAGGGATGGCCTGGGAACACAGTGAGGGTGTCGGCCAAATCACGTGGCCTTTCACCCTGGACGGCCTCACCTGGAAATGCTGAGGCTTTGGGGACAGAGCCTTGTGAACGGCGGAGCTGGGAGACATCCATTTCTGCCTGGCCACCTCTTGTGCCATTATGGCCAGGTGGTCTTCATCTCCTGGGGAAACATAGTCCATGGTGGGCTTTCAGAGGCTGGGGCTCAGGAGACTTGGAGGCATTTCCCCCATTTCATGGTTCTATCCCCAGTGACCAGCTCCTGACTAAAATCATGGCCAAGAGGCCCTGACAAGGGAACACATCCTCCCCAGACATTCCCATGGTCTCCACCCGCCATGGGCAACCCTGGGCCTCACGCTCTACATATGGGGGCCCTTGGAAATGGCCATCCTTGCCTCTCTCTGCAGCCCATTGGAGGCTGGGTCTTCTGTCTACAGACGACAAGTGGACACATTGGGAGGACAGGTGACCTCAGACAGGTGTCCGGAGATCTGGCCTACAGACCCTAACCTGGTCACTATCCTTCTGTAGGGCTCAATGGTTGGGTCTCCAAGATCCCCAAGAGCCCAACCAGCTATGCTTGGTGAAATGCAGGGCTTAGCCCCATGGAAGTACATACCTGTCTTCTCGATATCCTTGTAGGTCATAAGGGCCACCTGTAGGGTGAGAGTGCACTGCAAAGCAAAGGCAGGGGAGCTGTAAGATCCTGCAGTCCTTGGCCAAATCATAGCACTGGAACCTGGTCCAGCCTGGCAGGGGCCACACCCAGTCTTCCCGGGTGGAGTGATGCTGGCCATGGCACAGGACCACACCATGGGGGCCTGTGCAGTCTGGGATGGAGGGAGGTTATAAACCGGTGGGGAGAGAGCAATGGGTTACCATGGATGGGGTTTGAAGAATAGAGGAGGCACACATTAGTGGTGGTGACAGAAAAGGATGCAGAGGGGTGGGGAGGAGAGAGAGAGTTGACTTGAGACCAGTCTAGAACCACTGATGCTAACCTCCGAGCCCAATGTCTTATGACCTCATGTGGGAACTCCAGCAAACACCTAACTGACCTCCTGCCTGCAAGCACTCTCACTGCCCGTCCATCCTCCAGACCATCGTCAGAATCGACCCCTAAACACTCCCTAAGTGCTCTAAACTATCAGGGTAAAGTCACAACTCATCAGCATGGACCACACGCCCTTTACCTCTGGCCCCTGGCAGCCTACCCAGTCTCAGGTCTCCCTGACCTTCACACCCCTTCCGCCCCCTCCCCCGGTGCCAGCAGTGCAGGCAGCCCACCCTCCTGAACCTGCAGTGCAGCCTCTTTTCCCTCCAGCCTTCACACATGTACCTTATACCCCTGCCTTGAATTGTCTTCCTTTCCTGTCCATTGGGCAAACTCATGCCCCTCCTTAAAAACCATCCATAAAAATGGAACTCTGACAGGCATTCCGTAGCAATCAGCTCAGGAAACTAACACGATATCTATAGTAACCAGCCCAGGAAGTCAGCCTGCAGTGAGTCAGACTCATAGGAAGTCCAACCACCAACTCTAGCAACAAACAGTCGGGATTTGATTAATAACGGATAGATCCCTTAATTTTATCCCCTCTTCTAGCTCAGGACCAATGGGAGAAAGAAAAATATGCACCCCTAAGCGATCGCATAGGATGCCCGGCTTCTAGTTGGTCCACTTACAGCTTCCCGACAGCAGCAGCCTCCAATCAGGGCACACCTGAAGCCTTCCCTTTTTTCTACCATAAAGCTTTCCCACTCCTCTGCCTGCCTTTGAGTCTGTCAAAACCAAGGGATGGTGGCTGACTCCCTTGTTATATAGCAAGCTCTGAATAAATCGCCTTTGCTTGTTCTCATCTGGTTGGTCTTCATGTGTTTCCACACATCTTAATCACCTCCCCTGTAAAGCCTTCCATTCCCTCCCAAGTGGAATTGTTCATTCTCTCCTGACCTCAGTGAAATAGCTCACTGACCCCAATATACATGTGCTGGAGCACTTGTCACCGAGAGTGACAACAGATGTGGGCTTCATTCAATTTTGTATCCCAGGCCTTGCATAGTTGCTGACACCAGGGGACAATCAACTGAATACTCGATCTCAATGGGTGGATGAAGGGTGGAGATGTGGGTAGGTGGACGGAGGGCAGCATGGGGAAGTTGGGGAGATGATGGGAAGTGTGATGGGTTCCCCGCAGAGCAGAAAGTGCTCTCTGGGTTGGGGGCACACTGGGACTCTGCTGGAGTGGGTAGCTCAGCTTCACCAGCTGCCCCCACTCCTCCACGCACCCTTCCTAGGGCCCGACTCACATCTGTGGGCATCATGGAATGGTTGAGCAGGGTCAGGTCCTTCACGAAAAGGATCTTACTTGGTTTATTCACCAAGGGTTTGAGCAGTATTGTGGCCAGGCCAATGAACCTGGGGAGACAAAGAGCAGGTGTGAGCTCCTGAGCCAGAGGAAATGGTGCCCTTCTCCGTCCCAGGCATGACTTTATCCAGAGATGTCTTTCTCTCCTCGAAGCTGTGTTGTCCACCGAGGCTTAAGGAAGGATGCTGTTGACTGGGAACATCCACCAGAGGGCTCTCAACTCTCTGGGAATTGGCTTTGGGGCTTCCTGGACAGTGGGCACCCCAGTTACTGGCTCTGCCCCGCCCAGCCTTTTCCCAGAAGCTCTGCACCCACACGCCTCCTGAATGGGACCTGTGCCAAGTAACAGCTGATTGGACCAGGAGGTGGGCACCTGACCAAAGCTGGGCCAGTCAGATTCTCTGTCCTGGGAATTTTGACCTGGGATGCCATAGCCCCAGTCTCAGTAAGGCACTAGAATGGGGCTGTGATGAGAAGCCAGGGTTGGGCAGAGAGAAAGAGATTTGAGATTCTGTGCCTTCAGAAGAGACAGAACTGCCCCTGGGTCCCCAGTTTCCTAGTTCTAGTTGACCTGTCCATCTATATACCTAGCCTTCATACACACCACCCCCCCCTTTGTTTTTTTTGCATTAGCTGTCTGGAGTGGATTCTGGTCCTTGCATCTGAGTGAGTTACAGATTAGAGACAGGAGATGCAGCATCTGCCGTAGCTTTAGTCAGAGAATCAGGCTCCTCCTGTCTCTCTCTCTGCCTTACCTTTCCTTCTTTACTGAGCCCATGTCCCCAAGGGTGATTTGCAGGAAAGAGTCCTTTTGCAGGGGGCGGTTCCAGAGGTGCCAGATGAGGGTCTGTGGGAGGCACAAACAGGTCAGCATCCTCCCTCTGCCCTCCCTTTTCCATCCTCCTAGGAAATTAGAAAAGATGCAGGGAACGGGCTGGCACTGTGTTTCTCTCAAACTGAGGAATATCCCTCAAGTCTAATTTCCTAAGAGGATGGCATTTGCTACCTTCACCAAGGGACCAGGCATCCTACCTGGACTCCCACAGCTTAACTGCAGTATTGTGGGCTTGTTAGTAGCTAAGGGGTTTGGGGACTGGGTGGGGGGACATGGATGGATGGGAGATGAGAGAGGATCCTACACAAGGAGCTCTGTCTCTGTTTCAGGTTTCTGGGAACATCAGGACAGCCGGGTTGGACAAGATGGGTCCATCCCCAGCGTGGGTGAGATAGGCCAAGAGCTGTGGGCAGATGTGGCTGCTACGGCCCTGAGACCTGCACAGACTTCTCAGCTTAGAGGCTACTCACAGGGCACGATATTCTGGCCTTGAGAAAGGCTGATGAGGCTCCCTGTCCCCTCCCTAGACTTCTGGGCACGGTCTGGACCCAGCCTCACTGTTGGGCTTGTCATTGCCTCATCTGCGCTTGCCTGATGTGTTTTACCTCGTTCCATATGGGGTGATTGCCTTCCACCTCATGAGTTGTCCTCTTGACATCTGCAAAGACACCAAGGGGCCGGCATTGGTGGTAGGAAATATTTCAAAGTCTAGGTTCAAGTGAGCAAAGAGGGGTAGGACTTATCTAGATGTAGAAAACATCAAGTCTACATTGGCAGATGTGATACAGCATTGATTCTTTCCTACTCTGGAGATTTCAAAATTTCTCACTTTTTATAAGAGTGACATCACCCCATGTGACAGATAATGTTACGTCTTCATTTCATTTTCTTCCTGGGTACGTAGTTCCCAGCCATCTTGCAGCCGGGTGCGGCCGTGTGACTCATTCTGGCCAACCAAGTATGGGATCCATGCTCACCACAGCCTAGACTGGCTCCCAAAATCTCCCATGAGAGTCTTCGTTCTCTTCCCCACTCTCCACATGCGCTCGCACCATCTGCTGGGTGGTACCTGGTGACTTTGCAGCCACAAGCAAAGAGCAGCTGGTCCCTAAAATACTGTTTGGAGGAGTCATTCGGGATTGTTGCCTGATCTGCACAGTCGATGCAGCACTTGGTGTGGGCAAGAGGTAAACTTTTGTTGTGTTCAGGCACTGGGATTTAAGGGTTCCGTTGTGACCGGAGCAGAGCCAGTGTACCCTAATACACCCCAAAATATCTCTAATGGGTTGACAGCTCTTTATCCACTAAAATATGCCTTCCCCAGAAGTGGGAAAGCGGGACACTGTAGTGGATGGTGTATGGGGGAAGCGGGGCTGGAAACGACAGGTGAAAAAGGAATAAAAGATATCAAACAAACATTCAGTTATAAAAATGTGTGGGCAAATCTGGGGGCAAACCCAGGATTCTGGGTTGTAGGCATCTTTGTAAGAGAGATTTCTGGGAGGAGGACAATGCCTGGGAGGTGACGGGGAAGATGGCTTTGGAATCAGACTGTTCCCCGGCTCACCATAAAATTAGTCTCAGGGCAAAGACATGCTGAACCTCCACTACACCTCTTTCAACCCGCAAACTGGGTACATAAACCTGCATCACCCTGTGCACCTGGAGTCCTGAGTGTTCCATCTCTGAGTGATAGCGTACTCAGCAAGCAGAGTTTCACAGGCCAGAAAAAAATTAAAGGAATTTCAGTCTTCTGAAAGAGGACACTACTGTGTCTTATTTTCTCTTGGCCCCAGTTTTCGCACTCCCCACACTTCCTGGAAAACCTCATTTGCCTGTGTCCACACCCCTCTTTCTCTCCTCCAACAGACTGTTCATCTTTCTTTCCCTTTTCCCCTTTTTGTTCCCAGCTCTTTGTTATATAGATACACTTAACCTTTTTCATTTTTCTCTCATAAATCCTTTACACCACCCCTCCCACCTTTCTTGGACTTTTTTCCTTATCTATGAAAAATTGAGACAATAAAACTTGCCTCATAGAATTGTTGTGAGGATCAAAAATCATTATATTTATGATAAGACTTTGTTGATTAGAAAAGTAATTCATACAATTGAGCAGTTATTACTAGAAGTTGTACAAAGACCTGTCTGTATATTATCTTTTCAAATCCTCACAGCCATCCTATGAACCAGGTACTTGGGTTTTTTTTAACCTCAGTTTGTGGCACAGCCCTAGTTCATAGAAGAAACTCGAGAAGTATTCATCTTCTTTTTCTCCAGCAGTCATTCTCCGGAAAAAATGGGAGGCAGAGGAATCATACTAAGAGAAATAAGCAACAAGGATGATAAATTTGAAAGAGCCAGACGGTGTCTACCTCATCTTTCTGTGATACAGGGCATCTTTTACCTAGTAGGGTCACCAATAAATCTAGTTTTTTTGTTTTTTTTTTTGCGGTACGCGGGCCTCTCACTGCTGTGGCCTCTCCCGTTGCGGAGCAACAGGCTCCGGACGCGCAGGCTCAGCGGCCATGGCTCACGGGCCCAGCCGCTCCGCGGCATGTGGGATCCTCCTGGACCGGGGCTCGCACCCGTGTACCCTGCATCGGCAGGCGGACTCTCAACCACTGCGCCACCAGGGAAGCCCCAATAAATCTAGTTTTTCATTGAACGTATGTTGCCTCTCGGGGCTCCTGGCTCTCACCTCTGAAGTACACGGACACGCAGGGTCTGGGTGGGGGACTCAGGGGTGGGCTAATCTTGGCTGACCACACGACAAGCCGCAGCATCTCTTCCACCTACTTCCCTCCGTTCTTCTCTGGCAAAGCTTCCTTCTTGGAGCACCTTGGTCCAAGGCTTCTCCCAGGGCTCAGGGGGTGAGGAAGGTCCCGAGTGTGTTGCTTAGCAAGAGAGGCGATGTCACAAAGGTCGGTGGTTCTTGGGTGGTGGTTCTTGGTTCTGGAGAGGAATGAGGAGAATGGGAGGAAGGAGAAATCACAGGGTACGAAGCCAGTGGCTTGAGGTGCCCAGGGCTGTAGAAACAGAAGAGTTTGGCTGAACTGCACTTCCCCCTTCCGTTCTCTTTTCTCTCTCGTTCTTACAGTCCTTCTGATTTCAAGATCAGGTAGAAGGATAATATCTGCTCTTTATACAAGCAAGTTATCTGGAGTGAATCATTGCCAAAGTCACACAGTTTAGGTGAGAAAATAGAGAAGGGAGGTGAGCTGAGAAAAGAAATAAGGAAATCAAAGACGATCTCAGTGGTGTTTCAGAAGTCCTTCCTGATGCAGAAGCAAACATTTAGGCCTCCTTTTTTCTAAAGGAAACAAGAGTCTAGATATGAGTCTCTCTTAAACCAACAGAAACTAGCTTTCTCATCGATGAGCTCTTACGCCAGCTGGGTTTGTAAGGTTAAAGAAAAATCTCACTGACGTATTATCTTGCTGTGGCATCTTAATTGCCCGCAAGGCCTCTCAGCATGAGGATGGAACAGGGCCATTGCTCTTTTTGTCCCTAAGCTTTTTCTGCTTTAGGGTTGAACATTATATAAATTATACCTTATCCAATAGTTAGCGTGAAAATTAATAGATGTTTTCAAAAAGTGTATTAGTTAATGAAACAATTTAGCAGTAAGCTTACTACCCATTCTAAAACATGCATGGGTATGTTTTAGAGCAAAAAAACCAAAAAAACAATGTGTGATCTTGGTGTTAGGACTGCTTTCAGCAGGTTTAAAATGTACTTCCTGACAGTTTTTCTTGAAATGTAAACACAACACAATGCTTGTTGCTTTGTTAATAATTTTCCAAACTAAGCATGACACAAAAGGCAAACCCAGGAAAAGGAAGAGACCGATAGATTTGACCGCATAAAATTCAAGGTTCTTGTACAGAAAAATATACCTTCAAAGGTATATCAAAGTAGGGAATATTTGCAACAGCTCTTATAATTCAATAAGAAAAAGATGAATACTCCAAAGGAAAATGGGGCAAAGTATAGATTAGATGATTGTCCAAATGGACAAAAAAAAAAAAAAAAATGTAAAAAAATTCAGCCCGCTTAATAATCAAAGAAACACAATGAGAACTTCCCTGGTGGCGCAGTGGTTAAGAATCTGCCTGCCAATGCAGGGGATATGGGTTCGAGTACTGGTCCGGGAAGATCCCACATGCTGCGGAGCAACTAAGCCCGTGTATCACAACTACTGAGCCTGCACTCTAGAGCCCGTGAGCCATATCTACTGAAGCCCATGTGCCTAGAGCCCATGCTCCGCAACAAGAGAAGCCACCGCAGTGAGAAGCCCACGCACTGCAACAGAGTAGCCCCCGCTCACCACAACTAGAGAAGAGCCCACGCACAGAAACTAAGACCCAATGCAGCCAAAAATAAATAAATAAATAAATAAATTTATGAAAAAAAAAAAAAGAAACGCAATGAGATACTGTTTATCACTTTGCCAAATTGGACTCAGAAGCCCAAAAAACAAAAAAGATGTTAAAAAAAATTCAACCTCCTTAATAAGCAAAGAAATACAACAAGATACCATTTATCACCTCCCAAATTGGCAAAGAATGAAAAAAATGATAAACCTGGTGTGCTGAGGAAGGAAGAGGGGCAGAGAAAAGATACAAATCCATACACAGTGCTGATCAGAGTATAAAGAAAAAAAACAGCGGAACGAAGGCCCAAGATAAGTGCCAGGGAAAGA